GATTTATCATTTGTATTTATTCTAATTTCATAGCAATTATTATTATGCATAATTATGATGGACCTTAAATTCATTATCTAGAAATATGTTTACTAAATTCATTATCTAGAAATATGTCTTATTTTGAGAAATGATATCAAAAAAAAAAAAAAATGATATCAAGTAAAGACCAAAAAAAAAAATAATTATTAAATTAATGTAAAAAAAATTTTTTTTTTTTTTAACAATCGAAATAAAATGAGAAAAATGAATGTGTATAAAATGAAATTTGTATTTGATATTTGAAGCTATAATAACTTGCATCATAAATTTAATGAGTTAAATTAATTTTAAATTACTTTACATATCATTCCTTTTTTTCTTTCTTTTTTCCCTGCTAAAATTTAAATGATAAGTGATAAGCAAACATTTTAAATTTACTGCTTTTTGAACAAAAATAGGTAAACCATCATTTTGCTTCATCGAATAGTAGTAATTTTAATAGGATTAACTAGTTAATATAAAATGCAAAAAAAAAAAAAAGAAGAGTAAGTTGTCAATTTCAGATGAATAAAAAAGTGACATCTAATTTTCATTTCCATAAAGAAAAGATGAGAAATGATTGTGAAATAATTTTTAAATAAAATAAAATTTTTCAAAAAAAAAGAATAATAAGTAAAATTTCCAAAAAAAGAATAAAATAAAATCACAGAAGAAATTAATGAATTAATAAGCATTGATTGAAAATTAATTTTACAATTAATGAGGTAATAATATCAGAGAATTACTCAAGAGAGATGTCAATATTACTGATAATAACTGATAATCTTTTATTGATAAAATGAGCAAAACCTTTTGTCACCTATCTTTGTCATCATAGATGACCAATACAATACATTATGTCATTTCATATTTTCTACTACTACTAGATCATTCTTTGATTATTTAAATTTCTACAGCAATCGATGAAACTAAAAATTAATCTCTCACTGATCAAAGATCATAGCAAGTACAGTTTAAGTATATAGCAAAAGTAAGTGTAGTTATATAGTAAGTATAGTTAAGTATATTATGAATTTAAGTTAATGAATTGGTACGTATAGAGAAATCTTTCTCACGTACGTGAGCATGTGAGCACTTAGTGATATATGCGTGAGTATATGCATGAATATAAATGTATAATTGTGAGAATATTTTTAATTTTAACTTCTTTTTTTGTTTTATTTAAGTAAATTCGAAGAGTAATGTAAGAAAGAAATGAAAATTAGGTGAGAGAAATATGATTAATCGATTGATAAATTATAATTTATAAAATGAGAAATTAAATAAGAAATTATTAACAATAATAGTAAGTCAAATTGAAAAATTACTACTAAATTATTAAATGATAAATTGAAATTGATTATTAGTAGGTAGTTCCTAAAATTTATTTGAAATTTTTCAAAAAATTTAAAATTTATTTACAACCAAATATGTCTCATACCGTAGAAGTAAAAGAGCTGCAAGTTATTGACAAGGTCTTGGAACGCTATATTTTGATGATGAATGTAATACTACGGTGTTGGCTAGAATTAGGCATTGACTCTTATGATTAGGTTATGGGTATTTATTGTTGAGTTTGTTGGTGTTTCCCCTACTGTTGGGTAAATTGAAGGTTTTCGGGTGGGTATTTTATGGGTATTTTATTCATATGAATGACATTCAACAAATCTATTGCTTTCCACATGAAAAAATATACCTTTTTTGCTGTCTGAAATTGCTGTCTGAAAAAAACATAACTGATGCAACAATAACAGTGTCAGTAAAGAAAATTTTGACTGCATTTGTAGCACTTTTCCTGAGTAACTCAAACTATAGGTCATCAATGAAAATTTGATAGAAGTAATACACATATTGACAATTTAACTAGGTTAAAAAATCACGAATGTCACTGTCATCCGGATTAATTCCAAAAGATTGCTAATTTAGAAATTATGATTAGTTATTATTTAGGATAGTATCAGTAACCTTTTGACATATAATCCTAACAACAAAAACGATCAAATAATCAAAGAATCCCACCTATCCAATGGAAGCTGATAATTTTGGCTGCTTGTTCATTCTTGTAGTTGAAATTATATGCCTATCTTTTAAAGTGGAATGATCGATAGTTTGTACAGTGTAAAGTTTCTGATTGGGAGTGGTTAAATTGCCTTGCCTGCGGCTTGTTAAATTTAGCACCATACTTTTATTGCAAGTAACTTTTTGGACTATGAAGACTTTGGTGGAATTCATTAATCAAACCTTTATTGCAGCTAAGAAATAATGCCTCGTAGTAGATCGCGTGACCGTAGGCGTCGTTCACGTTCCCGCTCACGTGACGAGCGTCGAGATCGTGATAGGCGGTATCGCAAAGATAAGGATCGTCGACGAAGACGTGATTCTGATCATTCCGCTTCTGAAAATGAAATCGAGTCACTGCTGAAAAGAGAAAAACGAGGGTAAGTGCATCCAATGAAATTAATATATTGCGAGAGAGATAATATATGTTTTACTACTTTTTTAAATTTGTAAATGTAAGTTTTTACTAAGTGAGTATGTGATTTAAGATTTGTTAGGAGTTAGTACTTTGGTGTAAGTTGGAAACAGTAAATATTCAACTTTTATATGTAAAAGTTATCCTTTTCTCTTTGATTTGCTTTACTGTACTTAGTAATTCGTAATAAGATAGTTTTAAGTTTATATTCTTGAAAATCTAAAAAAAAAATTTTTTTTTTTTTAGCAGTAAGTTATGAATACCTCGTTTTTAGTAGAGCGTATATCAGTAGTATGAGTTGGTGTAAGCTTAGCTGTATTGGCCATATTTTCACTAAGTATAATGTAGTTACGATTTTCCAAAAATATGATTAAAATATGTTTTATGGGTTTAATAAAAGCTCGTTTCGGAAATTGACCATTTCCAGGTATTATAAAGTTTTGGGAAAATGTTCGAATGTATCATTTTATTGATTGAAGACTTTAATAAACGAATGAATATCTTTTGATGAATTGGTTAATTAGTTTTCCTCTTAAAAAATTGTCCACGAAATGATTGTGCACTACAGTGTTATTTGGGAAGGGTAGCAGGCTGTTTGATAATGTAAAAAAGGAGCAGCAAATTTAAGAAATTCGAATAATCGAACTGTAGCGGTTGCATAACCGACTTTGGAACAGAACTAAGTAAATTTTGCCATGGTAGAAGTGAGCATTCACTGTGGTACGTATGGTGTGTAAAACATGGAGTGCCAGAAATTCAATTTTTTTTTAATCAAATGATTTTGGCTTAAAATTCTATGCATCTAATGAAGTAATAGTCGATGTTGCTAATGTGTATGTACTTTCATACCATTTATGATATAAATATTGATAATGACTATGCTTTCAGAAATGGTAGTTCAAATTCACCGTCTACATCGCTAGGAGCATTGGTTAGCGAATTAGGGGCTGGCGTGAAATTTGATGCATCGCAGCTAAGTCAAGCAGCCAAAGATTGGTTGGATGCAAGGGTCACTGAGCAGGTAATATTTTTTCTATGTCTTGTGCGTGTGTTGTTTAGAGATTTCTGTTTTTACTATCACTAATTATCGGTTACCAAAAATTTTGTTTCTGGTCATACTGTCAGCTGTGGTCAACCGATGTGGGATTTGAAAGGTTGCTGTTTTTACTTAATTGCTACTGCGGTAGCTTTAGTTACCTTTGCTATTTGTTATTAAAGAAATGCATCTGATTCACGATTACAATTTTGGACTTATTTAGTAACATTGTTCCAACTTAGGTTTTCTTGGCCTTATGCACGCTTCAAGTAACTTTTCTTAATGACTGCCTAGTAAGATACAATAAAATGTTGCACGAAAGATTGGGAAAGCTACTTAGTTCGCGTAGTTAGTTTGAGATGCAAATATTTTTTAGTGTTCAAAGTTAGGACTGAAGGATTCGAGTCTTAGAAATTTCAAAAAGTGGAACGGAAATAATTTCATTTTCATGCCAGATCTCTACTTTCGGATGCAAGCATTCCCAGTTCTTTATTTATAGTTCGGGTTCTTAAGAAGTTAGTTTATGCTACGTTTCGTTTTAACACCATGTTAGGTGTCACACAAAAAAAGAATATTGAAGAATGGAGAAAGGCTGTCTGTGTGTGTGCACCTTGCGGCCGCTAATTAGCTGGAAGGATTCATTTATGGAGTCCGACCACATCAATGGTATTTTTTGAAAATTAGATCTTAATTTTGTAATTGACTAATGTTCATTTTGGAAAGTTTGTATGCTTTGCTCTGCTATTTGGCATCATCAAACGTTTTTTTGTTTAAAGCTTCTTTTAAATCAATGGTTGCCATCATATTGCAGCGCAAGACTTGCAAATTTTTCGAACGAAAGAACATTTCTTTCCTGTTTTTCTGAAACATTTCCTTGTAGGTGAGTGCAAGAGTAGCTGATTTGGAATTGTTGGTTCAGGAACGCGTAGCCAAGGCACGCGCAGACCTGGAATCCAGGTTACGTTCGCAGATTGAGCAAGAAATGATACACGAAGTGGAAGAAAGTCGAAAAAGAGAAGTGAGCTAAAACTCTTTTACAGCCTTTTCGTCAACAGAAATGCTTTTGAAATTCAAAGAGTGATTTGCCTAAAACCCCATGAAAATTATGGAAGAGTAAGAATGCACGTTTTTTTCTTTTTCCTTGACCTAATAACGATGGTCAACATCGTTAAATATTCGAATGGTTGAATCTAGTTTTCCTAAATAATATTTGCAGGAGGAGTCAAAAAAACGATGCATAGAACTTGAAGAAAATTTGGAGAATAAAATGAAAGAATTGGAGGAAACAGAAAAGAAATTGGTAAAGTCTTAAAATGCTTTACATGGATATACACTTAGATTAACATAATGAGTGATGTAGTTTCCGTTATCGCCATGTTTCAGGCTTTTGCACAATTTCAGCACAAATCAATCTCGCAGCAGCTGTTTGAATTACTTTGAATTACTTGTAAATAATTAAATCAGCTGATATTGACTAGCATCCACTATTCTTTGTTGACTTAAAAGGGGTCAACAAAGAATAGTGGTATTTCGGGAGGAAATTCATAATGTGCACATACCTTGCACAGTACTTGGAAATACACACTGCTGCGTGATATCGCTGGGATACTACAACAGGCAAGCTACTAGTAGGTGTTCCGTTGGCCGATAAACTGTTGCAACGCCAAAGCGAAGTACACGAATTCGTACTACTTACGAGCTGTATGTTCATTCAAATATGAGCTTTTTTTAGAATCCTGATTTGGCAATTGTTGGTTTCAACACATTTCTTGTAGTGGTGTTTTTAGTCACGGGTAGGCCGCTGATTATTAGTTTCTTAGGCGTTTCCATCGTGTGCACATAGTTTTGGGTTATTTTGAATCATTGTTTTCTCTCTTTTTGTAATCTATTAGTTAAAAGTCCTTTTTTCAGAAGCAGGAGCGCTTATTAATGCTGGAAACGAAGAGCAAACTAGAAATGGAACGAAATGCGCTGATTCAAGAACGCGAAATGTTAACCAAAAGTGAGCAGCAAGCGATACTGAATAAAGGTGGAACAATGAGGGCGCCAATCAAGTTGAAGCTCGGCTTTAAATGAATAAAATGACGATGAAGATGAAACGATGTGAAATGTATTAAATTAAATTTAACTCATGATGGTTGAGAAACTTTCGAAGTCCCTGTGCTGAAGTATTTTTCTTTTGGCTGTAGCGCTGAGGAGCAACTTGTTTTACGTCTTCCTTTATCCCCTTTAAATTCATGTTGCGTTATTATGTATTTTTCTTTTTTTTTCTTTTTTTTTTTTTAATTTATAGTTCGTGTCCATTCTAGTACTTTTTCAATTATTGCTCGTGCATTGTATATAGAAATGAATCCTCAACTTGCAAAACTGCATTGAAAAGATTTTTGAACATATAGTTGAGCAGCAAGTTTATCGCTGTAAAGAAGCGATCTTCAGAAGTTGAACTGGTTTGAATCTCTATTTTGGTGACTGTGCGATATGTTGGCTGATTTTGAATTCATGTGAGATATTTGCTTGGAATCGCCCACTATAATGCTTATCATGTCATCTTGAACGAATGTACCACATGTTTTTGCTAGTAGAGGTTTTGGGTTCGGTTCCGGTTTAGTTACAAACAAATCGGGAGGTGATTTCGTGTAAAAGATGTGAAAGGCAAATTTTGACATGATAAGCAATGTATGCCTTGGAACTTTTATTTATTTGAGGTTTGGTGAATTTCAGGTACTCCGTTAATATAATTTTGTTTGACAGCTTGCGATGAATAATTTATTCTGACTGCCAAAAATGACAGAATCAACATTTGCATTGAAAGACTGTATACTCCAATGTAGTTATACTCTGGATGGAGTGCTTAGATATTGCTGTAGGATTCCGGTTTCCACCCGGAGCGAAAGTTTTGAAACGATCCAATTTTGGTATAAGAGCTTCAAATATACCATTGAAAACAATAAAATTTATGAATTGCGACGGTAAGAATGAAAGTGTAAGCATGTCAGTATGCATTACACCGGTGTAGGTTGAAAAAAATATAGAATATTTGACCATTAGTTACTCAAATGATCGTATATCTAACTTATCCAAGTTAGCTTCTTCCGAATGTAAATGCACCATTAATTGGGCTTCAAAATCATCCTTAACTTTATTAAAATAGACCAATTCTGGTTTCTTTCTAGTCCAAAAAGCACAAAACAGTTTGAACACTTGACCTGAAATCATATTTTGTGGCGAAAAATTCTAATTCAAGTTTAGTAAACAAACAACTAGCATGCAAACATTATATGATTCTAATTCAATTTAGATTTAATAAACAGCTCACATCAAAGTTGAATTATTTAAATGACATTGAATTATTTAAATGCTAATGATGTAAATAAACTTCCATAAAACACATACAAAAAACGTGATGAAAGTTGTCAATCGTTGGTGTCCCGGAAATAGTATTGTAGAAGTGCATTTTTAATGCATTAACCTGTAGTAATTGTCTAATCAAAGCTGTCAAGTTGATTCCTGTCACTGCCATTGGAAAACTGAAAAGATTTTAGAGTTTTTTCAAAAAAAAAAAACAAAAGAGTAAGGAACACCATTTTCTCACATTTCTCTTCCAATGAAATGCAAACTTCCTTTTTTCCTTCTCTCTCTCTCTCTCTCTCTCTCTCTCTCTGACAAATTCAAAAAAAAAAAAAGTCAAAATCTTGCGTAATTACTAAAAATATAAATGAAATTTACGATGAAATATAGCAATGAGCTGATAAATAACATTTGCTTACCCGTACAAAGGATGATTTGAATGAGAAAGGATTGATTGCGCATGTGCAACATCGTATTGCGCCAAGAAAATGAGCTGTTCCAGTGAAAGAATTCCCATACCTCGGAAATCAGTGGCCGGATCATGACCCTAAATGATTCTCTCATTTACAACAATCCGGAAAAATCCCCGAAAAACATAAATTATTTACGAAATCAGTCCATTTATTATCTTTTATAAGTAGAACTCTGGCGTAATTCATAAGCTACTACTGATTGTATATACTTCTAAAATTTCATTTTCATTAAAAAAAAAAAAAGTCCAAGGCTGAATACATTGAATGAGAATAACTAAATTCAAGTAACTGAAGCAAATGAAGACTAAACGGATGGTAATTTGTTATCATTTTCATAGAAGGTTTATTAGTAAAAGAAGAACCGAACTAATTGTAAGTTTGTAATTAAAAAAAAAAATTTCTTTGTTTCTTGCCTGAAATCCAATCTTTTGCCATTGATTCGTCATCCTAGCTTCCAAATTTTCCATTGGCATTAAAAGTTCCCATAATTTGAGCAATCTACAAAGATGAAAATATAGCAAAAAATATGATATAATATGATTGATATGATTCAAACATAAGACTCAAATAAAAAATAAAAACTAACCTTTTTTCATGAATTTCATTTTCACGATCATACTTCTCCTTACACATATTCTCAACATGATCACGTAATTGACGGTAGCCACGTATTTGGCTCAATGATCTCTTTAATACATCTTTCATCTCATTAAACTGCTCATTGTCTACTTGTGAGCAGCATTTCTTGATAAGATCTGTTGCCTAAATTAATATTTTCTAATAATTTCTAAGGAAACACTTACTTCAAAAGAAAAAAACTTTTGATATTTAATCAAAAAAAATTCAGAAACGATGGAAAGATGGAAGTTAAGTTTTTGAAAAAATAGAATAAAAATGAAAGAACTCTAACTAAAAAATGCCGTTATAAATAATAATTCAACTAAGATAATACTTCAAAATAAAACTGTTCGAAAAGTATCGGACAAATTTCTAACTAACAAGTTTGTCTTCCTGTTCAGCTTCCCAAAACATCGGCATTATTGAAAACTCTCCTTCATCAATGAGCTTTTCCAATTCTGCTGTAATCTGACCACGATTATTGGTTCTCCAAATCAGCTGAAATTATTAACTTAGCTAATTGATGCTTCAATTTTCATATTATTTAACCATTTTCTTGCTATCAATCTGCTATTACTATTCCATTTTTTTTTTTTTTTTTTGATTTCTTTGGTTTTAATAAAATTCTATCATACAAAATTTCATATTTTGATATTTCATATAAATATGCTTACAATTCTTTCAAGTTCCGTCTTACCAGTTACCATTTGCATGAACCAATTTAGTGTAACTCGTAGCAGACGACGAAATATGAAGCATATATTTTGATAAAGAATGAAAAAAGGACCTTCATCTTGCCAATCCATGAAATTTATTGAACAAAAATTCTAAAATTAGAACATATGAAAATAATATGCTGTTCATTACAAACAGTTATAATTGTCTATGAAAAATTTAAATAATATCTCTATTGAAATTGGAATCGTAATATGCAACATGGAATGAACAAGACCAAAATAAAAGTTTCTAAATTACATTTAAAAATTAAATTAGAAAAAATTAAAAGGAAGCTATTGAAAATTTTATATCAATAGATTCATCTTCAACTGAAATGTTACTCAAAATCAGAGTGATTAAAAGACTGCACATGATGATGTAGATAATCTGTGGTATCTTCAAAATAACAATTTTCAAAGAAACACATGCTCTACTGTCAATTTGCTAGAAAAAGTTAAATTATAAGAAGTGAAAATGATTTATTTTATAATAGTTACCTATAAATCCATATATAAAGTTGAAATAAAAAAAAAAAAAAACTGCGGCTAATTATTTTGCTGCCTTCATCAAGAAAGTATAGGTATCTCAAACGATGTGCATAATATTTTAATTTAATTAAAAAAATTTGCTAACAAACATTGAATAAAAAAATTTTCCTTGGCACGTGAAAAAACAATAAAAATTGCAAATATATGTATAAATGAAAGCCTTCAAGTATAAAAATTGAAAAGTTCAAAGTACAAAATGTAAAAATTGAAATATAAAAAAATAAAATATATATATAAAAAAAAAAAAAACAAACAAAAGATAAAAAAAAATTGAAAAGTTCAAAGTACAAAATAAGCACACTTTACGACTCATGTAAATAAACCGGTATAGTAAGCATATTTTAGAATCAGTAATGCGACACGTTAATCAATTTTATGCTAAGCAATAACGAAGTGTAAAATTTCACTAACACCTTTACTGTGCTACAAAATAAATGAATTTATGCTAGTAGATAGAATTTTAATTCTTTCGCATTATTCGTATCACATAAAATTATTGATTTAAAGCTTTAGGAAATAGTGGCAATATTCGAAATGGTCGAATTATAATGTTCGCCTAAATTATAGGCAAATCGATGAAACGTAATAATAAGTGGTTTTCGGTCACTGTATTCTTCTCCAAAAAGTAAAACACGTCCACCTGGTTGAATTACTTCAATTCGTCTTTCCAGTGCACAAGCTGTAGCTCGAATCTATAACAGTAAAACTAAATCAAATACTATATGTGACAATGAGAAAATGAATTGCAACAAAACTCTCCAACAGATACAAACAAATTCTAATAATGAAAATAACTTTAAGCAGAAATGGTAAAAGCTAAGTTATATCTAAACTATAAAAGCCAAATCATAAGAACGTATGAGATGGAGATATTCTGCTTCCTATCACATATATCAAATTGTTATTAGCATCTTAGAATATATTATTTCTCTAAAATATACTGCAACTACTGAAACAGTACTACGAAAATGTCATTAGTAATTAATTTAGCATAAAAAAGCATTAAAAAAAAATTCTATTAAACTATAAATCATAAAAACAGGTAGTACTTCATATTTTAAATGCAATTACTGAAATAGTACTATGACGTGTAATTAATGAAATATTATCATGAAAATATCATTATCATGATCACATCGTTAAAATATAACCGAAATTATGCAATTGAAATCTAAAATTACCTCTGGTTCTCCACCCCAAACACCACCATCTGTGCAGCACTTCTCAACTTTCATACAATATTCCTCAAATTCGATCTCATCTACTGCTTCTCCATTATCATCAATTAAAAATGGCAGAAAATCATCCTTATGTGTTCGCATATAAGCAGCAGCTTTTTGACGAATGTCTGCATTTCTAAACTGAAATATAAACTTTCAACTGGTCATTGAAATTTTCATATTCATATTTACTCATTTAAGTTTAATCATCTCAGTATCTTTAATGAGCTAAAAAAAAAAAGGTAATTAGACGTGATTATAAGTGTATAACCTGGCATGAAGTAACTAATGATAGTTGATGTGCTATAGCGCTATACAAACAATCACCATCCGGCTCAATATTGTATATTTTAAGTCCACGATCCATTAGATATCGTTCAATTGCTTCACTTTCGAGTTTCCCTAAAACGTTTCAAAAGTGAAGAGAATTAAAAGCTGTTTTCGTTTAAAAATGTTATTATTGTTTTCTTAATACATACAAAGAGAACAAAACCATTAATTCTTATTCTTAATATCATTTCTGGACAGTTAAAAGTTTTTAATAAAAAGAAAAAAAAAAAAAATCATACGAGGTGCACTTTCCGCATCAATTGCAGCTTGTACTGCTGCTTCTTCCCGTTTCTTATTAAGTTCGGCTTTTTTCTCCTAAATTTTCATGAAATTCACTTATAGATAAAGAATGATATTTTTACTTCTGGGATGTTAAATATAACACAGTACTTTTATAAATACAAAATAGTATGAAGTTTTTCTGCAATTAAAAAAATTTTCAAAATTTGAGGGCACTCAAATAATTAAAAAAAAATCTTGAGTCCAGTAGTATCTACATTGTGTTATCATCAGAAAGTACTTAATTTTTTATATTATATATATCTAACTTAATTTTCAGGTTTGTATAGTACAATTTCCCTCGATGGATATTATAAAATATCGATGGCAAAAATAAAAGAAATAGAATAATGTTATCAATATCAAAATTCTGTAACTTACTCGTCTTCTTTGAGCTTTCGAGATGCGTGGCTGTTTTTCTTCACGTTCTTCTACAATAATTGACTCTACAGATTCTTCTGGTAACGATGGATTTAATTCTGCTAACTCCTAAATTATAATATTTTAAAATACTGTGCACGAATCCCAAATGTCTCATCTTTGATATATGACAGCTTCCGTTGGTGATTATAATACACTGTTTCAAAATTATGGAATGAAATAAACTGCGTCTATATGAACTTAATATCTACCTGAATATCTATTTTGAAGTTAGCAGTGAGTATCTCGTCAAGTAATTGTTTAATTATTTGACAGATCTAATTAGTAAAACTGGATCAAAATTTTCATTTGATATAAACTGCTATAAATATATAAATTTGACATTTGATATAAACTGCTATAAATATATTGATATAAATATAAAAATTTTCATTTGATATAAACATTTGATCAACAGTATAGTTTAAAGTATTCATTAAAACATTATCCCGATTAATATTTAAATATTCAGATGATTAGTAAAAGAATGTCATTAGAATATTATTATAAACGGCACAAGTATTTGTCCTAATTATTATCTAAAAATGAAAAGAAGGACCTCTTCATGGCGTTTTTTCATTTCTTCTTCCATTTTTGCTATTTCTGCTACTAATTCTTTTTTCCGTTTTTTGTCACTGTTCGAAATTGAATGTTTCATACTCATTATCTTGGCTGAAATATGCACAGTATCAATGCTTTAATTATAATTAACATTAATTATACTATCATTCATGATATCGTTCGAATCAAATAAATATTCATAAGTTGAGTTCAGCTATAACTCTTCATTAAAATTAACAATTTGCAAATAATGATTTTATCTTAACAATTTAATGTAACTAATAAAAGTTTTATAAAATTAAAGAGGAAAAAATCCTGTTAACATTTCGAAAATAGAACTTAAAAATTAAAATAAAACAAACTTACATTGTAGTTCTTTGCGTTCCTTTCGATGTGCTATTTTTAGTTGTCCTAAACGACTCATATCTTCTTCGTCAATCATTATTTCATTCCAAAAAAAAGTTAACAACTAATTAAATCTGAAATTCAAAATATTTAAGATTCCAAAATACACAAGGATTATTGATTTCTAAAATTGAAACAAACAGGTAGGATAGATCATTAATAATCGAATATTATCAAAATGAATACACAAATGTCACATGTAATGTATTGAATACATAAATTAATAAGTAGTAAATTACTGATCGGATTGCATTCCGGATTGCAATAATCTTCCTTTTCAGGAAGACATGAAACCGGAATTTCAATCCATATGTTGATTGATAATTTAACTGCGGATCGATTATATTATCACAGAATGCAATATAGTTTTGTGATCTCTGATTAAATAGACTAACATAATAAGGGGAGAGCAGACAGAGTGTTAAAATATCACGAAATAGTATATAGTCAGAGATTGAGAAATTCCTTGAATGATTGCAATATCGTGAGAGAAATGATAGATAACGAATAAAAATATAACAGTAAAAAGACAAACATATGATATGTGAAGACATCATAGTCCCAACATAATATATTTGAAAAAGTTATCAGTTCATAGTGTGTTTTTCGGTTTGTGTCCATAATGCGATACGATGTGAATCACTGATTTGCAGCTATTTGTTTAGTAATACCGGAAATATCTCTTACTCTATGTGATTTCCGGTTTTCCGATTCGTTTTTTTTTTTTACTTGCCCGGTTTATTTTCAATTTGCGATTTAATTTATCGGCGCGTATTTTTTTCTTCCTTTTTCTTTTTTATTTAAATTTTATGTTAATAATTTGCAGAAGTGTAAAGATAGATGTCTGATTCTGATAGTTCGAGCGCTAAGAGCAAAAAAGGACGAAAAAAAGAGGCAAAACGTGTCAGAGAAGTGCCCATTTTTTTGTTTTGTTATTTTAACTTTCAAATTTTTTTGCAAAATTTATCTTTCAAAATTACTATTTTACTATTTTGTTGCTAATTTTAACCATGCTCATCACATTTTTTTTTATTTTGTTTCTTATTTTAACTTTCAAATTTTTTTACAAAATTTATCTTTCAAAATTACTATTTTACTATTTTGTTGCTAATTTTAACCATGCTCATCACATTTTTTTTTTTTTATGATATATTTGTTACTTTATCGATATAATTTTCTATGGGTCATAAAAAAATTTTCCATTTTGACCTATCATATTTTCATCGTAAAAAAGTCATATATTAACTTTCTTTTGGACTATAAAGAATATGAAAGAATTACATAACACTGAAAATAATGTGTGAAATGGGATAAAGTACATCTTTTTTCAACTTATGTAAATAAGTAGTTGAGAGATTATGTGCTTTTGTTAAAATTTAGAATGATCAGTTAGTGCGATTATTAATATGAATATTTGTTGTTTTCAGAATAGCACTTCCGATGAGAGTATTATCGATAAAAATCCCGTAAAAAAAGGTAGAACTAATGGTGGCAGTTTCAAGAATGCTGATGGTGATGAGGTATCTTTTCTCACTTCACTTTTTTAAGTCCCAACCACAGATATTTAAAATATGCTAGTTTATAAATATTATGATAGTAGACATTTTAGTTTTCATAAAAAAGATTTTTTTTTTTTTATGTGGCTCAAATTATTTGTACCAAACTAAAAATATAAGTGTATACTGGAAAAGTCTTTTTGTTTTTTTCTATTCAAATAACGAGATTAAAAGTAGTTGCACGAGTTTTTCACTGGTCATTTGCGAATTTGTTCATTATTATGGAAATTAATTCTAGATGTTCGAATTGGGCAAAATGCGTTTCGTAACTGTGCGCTCTTTCAAAGGCAAATCATTGATTGATATTCGTGAATATTATCAAGATAAAGTAAATCTGTTTCTCTTATATTAGTGCTTTGTTTGATCTATGACTAATGTACTATTCTCTGTAGGCATTTGTTGACGAGTTATACGTAGGTAAGTTCTAGTGCTGCATTTTCTATTATTGAATTTTTCTCTAATATTTGCCTTTCCTTCAACTTTTTAAAATTTGAAGCATTGTTTCGGTTTCTTCCAGTAGACATGGAAGGTGAAGTTTGAGTTAGGATAGCTCAGTAGGTCGTCATTAAGTGGAAAGGAGTGCACCAGAAAAAGATCTACTTGTGTGTTTTCAGAAAAAGATCTATATAAATATGTTTTCAATTCATTACTGAGTTGTAATTTGTAAATGTTTAATTAGAATTTGAAAGTTAGGAATGAAAATCTCCAATTTCCTTTCCGTTTTTGCAAACTATTTTAAGACTGAGAGTTTGAAAATGTTTTACGAATGTAATTTTTTCTGAGCTGGTAAACAGATTCCACAACTGCGCTTCAGCATTTGATAACTTTAATTTATATATATTTTTAATGCTTTTATATTCCCTTTTATTCAGATTTTCAGTACCATAAAAAAAGTCAGTTTTCAGGGTAGTGGTGAACTAAAACCGGGACGTAAAGGTATTAGTCTATCAGGAGAACAATATCAGCGGTTGAAGGCTATTATGAGTGATATAGACGAGAAGCTGAGTAGTGCCTAAAATGTTTTTTTCCGTGCTTTGACATAGTACTTGGCTGTTTTCAGTGTTGGTTGTCGATCTCGATATCATTAGGCTGCTCCTGTCTGTCATCTTAATATGAATGGAACAGAAATTGTCGTAGTGCTTTATGTTTGTGTTTGTAAGGTACTATGATAATAGCAGTTTTCATGATTTCCGAATTTTCTTTGTCATTTTATCACTTTTCATTCATTTTGAAAATACTTCCAGACTCATTGATTTTTGAGGATTGGCTCATACTTCGATTAGATTTCAAAAATAATTTGCCGTTCGCAAAAAAAAGAACCTTTTTCACATTGATCGAAAATTCGCAAAAAAAAGAACCTTTTTCACATTGATCGGAAAATAAGCAATTTTGAACAGTCTTATTTTCTGGATCTAGATTTCATTCTCTCCTTTATTTGTCATAAACTTGTTTGTTTCCTATTTTTCGTTTCGAAAACCATTAAAAAGACATATGGTGCACATAGCAACGCATAAAATAATACAATTTGCATAACTTACAATATAATGATAATAGTATCATAAGCAAAAAATGGTACTAGCAGCAAATTTTTATGAACATGTAAGTAATGTAATAACTATTTTGAGAATTAGCAGAGTTAGAAGTAACGGCAGGCTTATTCGCTATTAAACTATCGATATGATCGAAAAAACGATGTCAGGTTAAAAGTGTTAGATAAGGTTGAAAGTGGATGGAGAAGGATGCTAGTATAAGCTTATGCATGACATGCAGTTAAGTTGCATGCAACGGAAGATCTACCCCTTTGATGTGCAGTTGAGTTGCATGCAGCGAAGGATTTTTTCCTTTGACATACAATTAGGTTGCATGCAGCGGAAAATTTTCCTTAAAATTAAAAGTAGAAGAATGATAAATGAATGGAAGCAGTAGCAAGCATAAGGTTATGCATGACATGCAGTTAAGTTGCATGCAGCGAAGGATTTTTTTCTTTTGCGAATTGACAGCAAACCTATAGGAATTGTGATCGCACTGATAGGTTTCAATAGAGTGAGGATTTGTAAAATTAAAATTGTATTTGTATGATTAACGATATGCTGCACTATTCGAAAATTACATTATGAAATGAAATATTCGAATGTTTTGATTATTTCTAGGATTTCATTCAAATAATGGCATTGGCTAATCGTGGACGAAATCAGAAATTACCACCGGAAGTAAATCGAATTCTCTATGTTAAGAATTTACCATATAAAATTACCAGCGAAGAAATGTACGATATATTTGGAAAATTTGGAGCTGTACGTCAAATACGAGTGTAAGTTTGTCAATTTTTTTTTTTTTTTTTTTTTTTGTTCATTGTGATCTTTTTTCTTGGGATTATTTAAAGATTTCAGTTACATGTATGATTTTTGTTATGAATTTGTTTGCATGTTGTTGTATGTTTCAAATTCAATTAATTCATCGTAGTCATTTTTAGTCAATATTTCAATCTTATCCTTATTGTGAATAAGAATGGAAAAATCCTTCATCATTTTTTATTCCTTCCATCTTGAAGCGATTTTAATTTATTATAGAATAAGCTTTTAGTATTACATATTAACCAATCTTTTCTTTAATCATAAAGTTTCTTTTACTTTCATTTTATGTTATGAATATCTCATTTAAATATGACACAGATTAGTTACTACTTATTCGTACTCGAAAAATAATATTTTAGATGACTAGCTTACTTCTTTTATATATGTTAAAGATAGTGTATCGTTTCTCTTTTTTTTTTTTCTTCATCATACCATAATTTCATTTTCTTTTTGCAGAGGCAACACAGCTGAAACACGTGGAACAGCATTTGTTGTTTATGAAGATATTTTTGATGCCAAAAATGCTTGTGAACACTTATCTGGATTTAATGTATCCAATCGATACCTCGTCGTATTATATTATCAGGTATGTGTAGATTTTGTTTGCTATTTGTTCTTAATGCTTTTATATTACAACCTATTGAATTTGGATGATTCAATTTTAAATAAATATGCAACAATATATCTTTTGGCTTTTTATCTTTGTAGTACAATTCGATTTCTGTAGAATTTCATCCAATAAACTTGAAATTTATTGCTTTTATTTGACAGCATTTTGAACTAATTATAAAAGATAATATAGAAGGTAGCGAAATTTTCTTGTTGAATTGATATGGAATTTTTGCCAATGGCCTTTTTTTTTTTTTGAAAAACTGTTTGATTGCATTTTTGTGGAAAGTTTAATAGATGTTTTTCTTACCAATCCATGAATAGCTTTTAAAATTGTAATGTGTAGTAAACACGTGAATTCCTTGTATAATTCTAAAATCTTTTAATACAGGCGACAAAAGCTTACCGAAGGATGGATACCGATAAGGCGAAAGAAAGGCTTGAAGAAATTAAGGAACGATATAATCTAGGTGGTGATTTAGAAAAGGAAAAGAAAGATAAGTTAGGCTATACACCTACACCTCGAAGATAATCATTTTTTTTTTTTTTTTTTCATTGTTTTGTCTTTGTATAGACAGTTGTTTTATTCTGTAATAAAAATTTGAAGGCTAATAATTTCCATTGAAGACATTTCTACCTTCAGTAATAATTCTATGTAAAAAAATGACTGCGAATAACATTTATTTACAATAGTACTTATCAACTAGATATTTGCATGTTTTACATTTTACATAACAGCAATGAATATATTTGCATTGGCATTGTTCTTCAATGTGCATTTGTTTTGTGTAGTATCCACGTCCACAACATAAACTATTGCAACTGTTTGAATCTGATGAAGTTAAATTGCATTCTCTATAAAAGTAAGAAAATTTTTAAAAACATCCGATAGCATATATATTTTGAAAAAAAAAAACATAAACAAATTAATTAATGTGCAAGTGCAATAAAGTGATAAATATATAAAATAAATGGTTGTATAAAAATTTGTGTGATAATCTCACCCAAATTATGATCTATTTTTAACATACAATTATAAAAGGACAAGGGAGCACCCGGATTTGAACCAGGGACCTCTCGATCTGCAGTCGAATGCTCTGCCACTGAGCTATGCCCCCTCGCAGTTCTGACTTTGCAGCATTTTATAAATTCTAAAATTACAAAATAATAATAAATCAATTTACCTCATCATTGTACCATATGAACCGGTTTTACTATCTTCTACACAATAATCCGGTGAATCTCGAAGATAAACCTGAAATAGAGAAAATGAAAATGATAAGAAAAACAATGAAATTTTAATTAACTATGAAGATTTCAATTGTTACAAAATAATATTTGTTCAAAGTTATCAATGACAAAAATTTCAAATAGAAATAAAAATAAAATTGCACTGAAAGTTTTTAATTTGAGCAATATTAATGTAATTAATGCAGTTAAATAAGTGAAGATTTTATCATTAGCTATTGAAAATTTTACTATGTCATTTATGATTGCAATTTCATTTTAATTTCAAAAATAATAATAATAAAAAAAAAAAAAAAAAAATATGTTTAAAAATATTAGATATCTTACATTATTATTTCATTACAATTTATTTATTTGTTTATTTATTTTTTCTTTTTAATAAAATAATAATTAGTAAAAGAATATTTGAATTACCAAATGTTGTCGTGATAATTCACCATGTATAGCCTTATCAGTAGTATATCGAAATTGTGTTAATAATTCTGATAATGGTGATGCTTCTGTATAACGCTCTTGTAATCTTAATTAATAACAAAAAATTTCAAATGTTTAATTTAATAATTTGAAATTTTTAAAATAAAATTATTAAATGTATTTGCTTTGTTTTTTACTATTTAAAACAATACAAAGAAAGCAATTTCTAATATTATAAAAGTTAATTATATTCTTTAAAGATAGCTTACGTAATAAATATTTGACGTAAAATAGACGTATAAACTTAAACTAAGTAGTAATACTAGTTGTAATATATTGAAATAAAAATAAAGTAATAAACTTTAATGCTATATCATGAACATCCGGTAGAGTATTCCAACATGTTCTCACATTACAACTGCTCGATACACCGTGACATTTGCATTTACGATACAAACTTTCTTGTGTAATCTTAAAAATGAAATTTATTAAAATAAAACTTCAAATGATTTTCTTTTTTTCTTTTTTTTTTTTTTTGAATTTATTTTAAATTTGAAAGAAGTGAAAAAGTTGTTAAAATGATTAATTATTTGTCGTTTCAATAAATCAAACGAAAAAAAAAAAAAAAACATTTTAGAAACAGTAATCATTCATCTTTTGTTAGTTCATTATACAATGATTATAGATTATTTCAGCAAAAAAGGACATAAAGATCATTCATGAATTAAAAAAAAAAAACAAAAAAAAAAAGAAAAGAAAAAAGATGAAAATTAATGCATCAAAACTAATTTAACAAGAATTATTAATTATTTATTATTATTATCATCGTTATATTTATTTATTTATTATTATTGTTACTATTATTATTATTGTTATTATTATTATTATTATTATTATTATTATTATTATTATTATTATTATTATTATTATTATTATTATTACTATTATTATTATTATTATTGTTATTATTATTATTACTGTTATTACTATTATTATTATTATTGTTATTATTATTGTTATTATTATTAGTTATAAATTATTAGAACTAATCATTTCATAATGAAAATGAACTATACCTGACGACCAACTTCATTATTATGTTCATTCATTTGCGCACGTGGTGGAAGATCAGTGACCGATTTGCGCTCCGAGAAATCTGTGTTAATATAGGCCCAATCATCGAGTAACTCCTTTAAAAACATTAATCTGATTTGAAATTTGTTTAAAAGTACAAAACAAAGAATTCATACTGCTCTACTGTGGCTTTATTTTTCCAGTCTTCCTTGTCATTTTGATTAAAACTACTAACTTTACGTCACCATTAATTAATTAGAAGTAAGTAATAAACGTAAACTACTTCACTTTACTATTAATTAATTTAAAGTAGGTAATAAACGTAAAAGTTAGAACTTATTAATGTTGTTTTCTTTTTTTTTTTTTACTAAAAAAATTTGATAACTTTTTAATTTCCTAAAAAAAAAAAATTAACCAATTTCTCAATGATAAATTTTACTAAAAGTTACCCGATTACGTCGCCTATTTGGCGTAGTTGCATTGCTACCTGGACGCCATTTTTTACGCCATGACGCATCTGCCCATTCACGGCTTACTCGTTGCCCGTATAACACATTATCGCTACATCCTTTCCACTAAAAATTAAATGATAAATAAATAATGACAGTGTAAATATTTATGAAACGTTAAAATTAATTAAAATATGATTTCAATTTTAAAAAAGAAATTTTATAATTCAAAAAATTTTGAACAAAATTTTAAAAAATAAATTCCTAAATTTGATAATGTGACAAACTTATGTCACCTTATAGGAAGCATCAGCAGATGCAGTTGGTGAATTTAAGCCACAAGGACAGTAAGGTAAGTCGCCTGAAACACAAGCTTTAGCTACGTGATGCGTGAGTGCTGCAGACGAGAGAGCATACACGTACGCTTGTTCTTTGGTACCTGAAAAGTACAATTAGTATGAATTTGACGTATTTTTTTTTTTTAATTAATTTAAAAAAAAAAGAAAAATTTATGACTAATGGATAAAAGAGGAAAATATTTTTTCGTTGAGTGAATGAATAAAAATTTTCATTTTATATCACAAAATTGATAATAAAAAAATTCCTAAATGATATTATCAATTTCAGATATTTTTTTGTGTGAATCTATAAGTAATATTATATTTTTCAGATTGCTTTTTAAAAAAATGAGTAATATTATTATTTTTAGATAATCTTTATGCAAATTTATGTATATTTTGTACATTTTGCAAATAATCCTTTTATGAATCTTTTCAACTAATTTTTATTTTTTACTTTTTTTTTTTTACTAATATTACTATTTATAATTATAATAGAAATAATTATAATTCATAATAAAAAATTCATAAGTAATATTATCACTTTCAAATACTTTTCATGTAAATCCATAAGTAATATTACAATTTCAGGTAATCTTTTTATAAATCCATAAGTAATATTACAATTTCAGGTAATCTTTTTATAAATCCATAAGTAATATTACAATTTCAGGTAATCTTTTTATAAATCCATAAGTAATATTACAATTTCAGGTAATCTTTTTATAAATCCATAAGTAATATTACAATTTCAGGTAATCTTTTTATAAATCCATAAGTAATATTACAATTTCAGGTAATCTTTTTATAAATCCATAAGTAATATTACAATTTCAGGTAATCTTTTTATAAATCCATAAGTAATATTACAATTTCAGGTAATCTTTTTATAAATCCATAAGTAATATTACAATTTCAGGTAATCTTTTTATAAATCCATAAGTAATGTTACAATTTCAGGTAATCTTTTTATAAATCCATAAGTAATATTACAATTTCAGGTAATCTTTTTATAAATCCATAAGTAATATTACAATTTCAGGTAATCTTTTTATAAATCCATAAGTAATATTATCACAAAATAGATTACTTTTAATATAATTAAATTCATAAAGTCAATCAATAGCTACATTTTAAAATGCAATAGACTTTTAAGAAATTACTTAACTTTGGTAAGATTTGATACTTACTTTACATTACTTGTAATGTATTAAATTTATAAAATCAATCGATAATTATAAATCAATAAACATTCCAGAAATTACTTAACTTTTGTAAGATCTGATATTTACTTTATATTATCATAAAATCAATCGATAATTATAAATCAATAAACATTCCAGAAATTACTTAACTTTTGTAAGATCTGATATTTACTTTATATTATCATAAAATCAATCGATAATTATAAATCAATAAACATTCCAGAAATTACTTAACTTTTGTAAGATCTGATTTGTATCGTGGCGCTCGAAGTATCGATGAGCAATTCCATCGGCGATCAGCAAATACTTTTTGACATATGGAAACAGTCGTTTGAGATGCTCGAATGATGACAGGCATCAGATCGGATATACGACGACACATACGAGCCTATAAGTATAAGTTATTTTTAATTTAAACACTAATTAAATGTTTAAAATTGTTTACTACTTTAACTTTTTATAAGTTATAACTTTATAACAAATACCAAAATTCATTTTGAATTTCTTATGATAAATTAAATTTTAAAAAAATTTCACAAATTGCTTTTATTTATACTGTGTTTTTTTAGTAACCGAAAAATTTAGGAACACTTACTAATTGAATTTGTGATCTGAATATGAAATGATAAATTTCATTTATTTTTAATAGAATATGATAATATTTACTAATGTCATTTATTTATTATTTCAGTTTTTTCAATCATTATTTTATGTATAACACTCTTATCATTATTTGTTTGTACTGATAACAAACTGATAACAAAATTTTTTAATTTACTTACTTGATATGCGACCAATCCATAATTTTTACGTAAATTTTGATTTTTTGGACAATGTCTTGGTTCTGTCCATGTATTTGTGATAGTATGAAGTGATCTAGAATTAAAAAAGTTTTCATTCCAATATGTTTCTTTTATCAATTCAAACAAAAATAATCTTTCGAATTTTATGATTTTTTTAAATTGCACAAAAAGCATTTAAATTTTGTGGCTTTTCTTTTTATATTTCTTTTTTTTTTTTTAAAAAAAAAATTATTTCTTTTATGTTTACCAAATGACATTAATATGTTTAGAAAAAAGGATCGAAGAGTTTATTTCATTTATCTAATCTAATTCTTTAAATTAATCGCAGAAATTAGGAAAAAGAATTTTTTTAATCAAATTTTGTCTCACAGACAAAAATAAGAAACGATGGATAACAACAACAAAAAACAACAAACAACAACATTAAACAGCAACAACAAGCAACAAACAACAAACAACAAAAAACAAACAACAAATAACAAAAATGAGCGACAAACAACAAACAGCAAATAATACACAACGGACAGTAAATAACAAACAACAGATAACAAACAGTAAATAACACACAACAGACAGTAAATAGTAAATAGCAAACAAGAAACAGCAAATAACAAGCAAAGAACAGCAAATAACACACAAAGGACAGTAAATAACAAACAGCAAACAACAAACAACAGACAACAAATAGCAAACAGCAAACAACAGAAAGCAATTAGCAAACAACAAACAGCAAACAACAAACAACAGACAACAAATAGCAAACAGCAAACAGCAAACAACAGACAGCAAATAGCAAGCAACAAACAGCAAATAACAAGCAGTGAACAGCAAATAACACACAACGGACAGTAAATAACAAACAGCAAACAACAAACAAGATACAACAAACAACAAATAGCAAACAGCAAACAACAATGACAACCATCGATTCAACTTTCTTATTTATCGCCTTTACAGATCAAATTTTCCACCTACAGTAGTATTACTTTGCATATCTAAAAAGAAAAAAAAAAGTTTTATACTTAATTTTGTTACTTAATTCCTTTGTTGAAATACTTAAGAAAAGTGAAAGATTTGTATAATTATGGAATAGTAAAAGAGAATTATTGAAATTCAATGCTATGAAATAAATTAAATTTTATGTTTATCTTGAATTATACTGTAACTATGCAATTGTATCCTCAAAAATAGAAATTATTAAATTAATTAATTAGCACAAAATTTAATATAGAAGCATTTGTTGTCTTTCTTTTTAAATAAATGGTTAGATATACTTCATTTTGTTGATAATATTTTGGATTAATTTTATTTTAATCTTTAAATAATCATTTAAAGTAAATTAAAATCTATTAAATTTTCTTAGTAAATTTCACAAAATGAATAATACTGAAACAAAAAAAAAAAAAAAAAAAAAAAAACTTTCTTGATATTATTAATATTAAGAATGATAAGAAAATCTAACAAATTTTAATTTTTTACTTACAAAATTTTAATTTTATAATTTTAGTTTTTTTTTTTCTTCCTTATTAATAAAATGATAATAAAATATTACAAAAAAAAAAAAAAAATATTCTTTAAAATTAATATGAATTTTTTTCTTATAAAATAAACTTTTTTATTGCAAATTTAAAATTAGTATGAATTTTTTTTTTCTTATAAATTGAACCTTATTCTATTAATTCTAATTGAAATTTATCAAATTTTAAAATTAAAAAAAAAAAAAAAATGAAAAACGAAAAAACAAAAAAAAAGAAAAAAATAATAAGTAAATAAATAAAACTTACAGCCATTTAATAGGTGTACAACGATTGCAGGTAAAAACCAATAAAATTAATATAATTGATAATATATGAGAGTGTCCCATTGATGAGACATTCATCTTTTACTTCAAATTTAAATTAAATAATCATTTTGATTAAAATATATTCTATTTAAATGAATTCAAAAAATTTTTTAAATCTGTTTAAAATAATGATAAGAGAGAGAGAGAGGGAGGGAGAGAAAAAGGGAGAGAGAGAAAGAGAGAGACAAATGAAATGATAAAAAGGCTTAAATGTGAAAGCTATAAATTTGCATAGAAAACCCGCCTTTATGCTGCTACTTAGTTAAACGACTTTCTTTTTTTTTTTTTTTTTTTCTCTCTCTCTCTTTTCATCTTCTTTTTCAAAAATTTCGAAAAAGCAATAAACCTATTAAACTATTCCAAAAATTTACGAGCGTATTTTACGGCCTAATTTTAGGATGAATTTTAGAATAAAAGTGTTGAGAGTAAAATGGAAATAAATTTGATATTCTAAGCTCTAAGAAGAGCAATTTTAAAATTTCCTCACGAAAAAATCGTAATTTTTTCGTGAGGAAATTATTTCAATTTTTAGTATCAACAATTAACTTTTTTTTTTTTTTATTTTAATTCTTTTTTCATTCTCATTCTCTTTCATATTTCTTTTAATTTCAACTTTTTTTTTTTTTTTTATCCATTATGAATAAAATTTTATTCAAAACTGATTTCATCGATACTTTTCCGCTTTTATCGCTTTTGTCTTTGTAAGAAACTTTTTTTTTAAACATTAAAATAATTGATATTTGCATATGAATTTTATTGCTAATCAATAAAATGTATCATTTGAAAAATATAATAAATTAATAAACCAAATACTTAACTATAAAAATTTGTAAATAATTATTAGAAAAAAGTAAAAAAAAAAAGGACAAAAAGAAATTGTAAAGTAATAAAGAATTGTAATAAGAAATTTTAAAATAAAATATAAAATAGATGGTGAAAAGATTATAAAATTCACAATTAATTGATCATTTTAATCGATGATTTGTTTCAAAAGTTTAATCTTCCTGAAAAAAAAAAAAGAAAAAAATAATTTTAGAAGTAAAGTGATACTCCAAATTTAATTTTTTTCACTTTTTTTTTTCCAAAAAACTACTTCAAACTCAATTTTAATAAAAAATTACTTTAATCCTTTTAGGCTATCCGCAAGGTAATTTACTTTTCATTTGTTTTTGTTCATTTATATAATTCTTTATGGAATATTTGTATTTTGAATAAATTTAAAAAAAGAAAATTTATTTATACAGTTGCTAGCACATACATTCATAATGCTCCCAGAAAATTTTTAAACTTTTGCAAATTTGATATTAATAATATTTCATATTAACTCTGAAAATTTAAATTTCAGTTCATTCAGACAGATGAAATAGTTGAAACCTTTTAAATTTCAAATTCTATTTGCATGAATTTAAAAGAATTTAAAAATAAATAAACACAACTTTTGTAAATTTATTCAATATTATAGCATCCATAAAATGAAACCTTTCTATAATTTAATTTAAATAATAACAATAATAAACAATCATTTCATTAGTGATTTCAATGAATGAAAAAGATTGTTTACTATAAATTCATTCATTATTAGAATCCAAATTATAAATTAAATTTTATAGAATTCAGCAATTATTTCAAATATTTTAACATCCAACAAATATTGAAAAAAAAAAAAAAAAAAAAAAAATTTCAAACCAATGATTTTTAATTTTGAAGAAAATAATGAGAGCAATGGTGGTTTATATAATTATTAAATTTTAACAATCAATATATCACTATTTTTTAAAATATATTTTTATACGTTTATAGCAGATAGATTTATCAAATATGATAACGAGTTTAATTAATATATAAAAAATTATTTATCAGTATGAAAATAATTTTATTACAATGTCAAATAACCATCTAAATAATAATTATAAATCTTATTGTAATGTCAAATAATGATCATTAATCTTGTAGAATGATAAATGATAATTATTAATCTTATTGTAAAAATCAAAAAGCCCAATAATTAATTGTTAATGTGATAATCATTATAATACCGATAATTATGATAATGATAATTATCGCTGTTATCAGTAATTTTAGTTTATTATCATTTAATTAATATAACAAAAAATTATTTATCAATATGAAAATAATTTCATTACAATGTCAAATAACCATCTAAATAATAATTATAAATCTTATTATAAAAATCAAAAAGCCCAACAATTAATTGTTAATGTGATAATCATTATAATAGTGATAATTGTGATAATTATCACTGTTATCAGCAATCTTAGTTTATTATAAATGTAATTTAAGAAATGATAATGCTATTAAAATACAATTAGACAGTAGTAGAATTAATAAAATTTGCTTTGGTAACAAATTAATTAAAAACTAATTTTTATTCCTTTCAATAGTATTTTTTGCTTTTTTTGTTGAATAAATTTTTGAAATTAAAATTTTCAAATTTATAAAATCAACAAAAAAAAAAAAAAGAAAGAAAAAGTTCTATAGCCAAGAGTACATCCAACAGAAATAAACTAATTAATTTATTTTTAAAATGTAAATTTCAATTTAATATCATATATAATCAGTGATAAAATGATAATTATTTGAGATTAATTATTTAATCAAATTTTGATTTTAATAAATTACAAATAAAATACTTTTTAATATTTGAAAAATTGAGTGTGAAAAGTTTTACAAATTTAAAAAATCAATTCAAGGAAAAAGAATAGATAAACATAATATGCAAATAATCATTTATTGCTCATAGCATGCATTCTGCAAGATAGGCTAAGTGCTGCATTCTGCAAGTTAATTGTTGAACAAACAATTTTTGAAGATAGTAAAATCTTAAAAAAGTATGGTAGTAAATTTAAAAAGTATGATAGTGAAATTTATCAAACTAACAAATTCATTTTTTATTTTTGTCAAATTTTACCAATTTCAATGCATGTTTCAGGGATATTTTATTTTTAAATTTAATAATATTTGAAATAAAATTAATTTAAGTTAATGTTTTTGTCTTAAAGACAATTTTAGTAAATTTCTGCAAATTTAATAGAATTTGAAGAAGTTAATGTGCTTTAAATTTTATTAGGACATTTTAAAGTATCAATTTAATGTTATAAATGATGAAATAATGAAAAATTTAATTTAATGAAACGGTGATAAAGTCAATTTGATGATAATAATTTATAAATCAAATTTTATTGGGAAACATTAATTGCAAAAATTGATGGAAATTTTTATTCCATAAATAGAATTTTCAAAAGAAAAACAACAAACAAATGCCGAAATTAACAATTTAAACAAAATTATAAGTTAATTACAAAAAGAGAAATGTAAATTTTAAAAGTATGATAGTAAAATATGTTAAATTATATCAAGAAACATCAATTGAAAATTGAAAAATTAAAAAATTAATTAGCATTAATTAAAAAACTAAAAAGAAATTGTTTTTTAAGATTCAAATTAATTTAAAAGTAGTTTAGAATTAATTTTATTTAGCAGAAGATAAAAAAAAAAATTGCACACAATATATATTAAACTGTTCCTTTTTTTTGTCCAATATCAAAATTTAATAATTTCTATCCATGTTTCGGGGATATTTTATTTTCAAATTTAATAATATTTAACTAAAACTAATTTAAATTAATATTTGAATCTTAAAAACAATGTTAGTAAATTTAATAGAATTTATCTAATCAATTTTTTTTTTTTTATTTTATACTGCATTATCAATAAATATATCAAATATTGGAAAGTCATTTGAAACAATATAAATCATTAATTAATTTAATAATATTTCAATATGAAATGATTACTTCTTCTATCATCGACAATAATTATAAGTTACTGATTCATTGAAATTGTTTTAAATTTAAAAAAAATGCTTTAGAATTAATTTTTAATTTAGCAAAAAAAATTTAAAAAAAAGATGAGAGCAAAATGTTTTAATTTCAATTAAAATAAACAAAATTTGCAAAACATTTACAAATAAGCAAATAGATAATTTGTAACTTTTTTAAATTATAATTGTTTAAAAAATATAAATTATATAAATAACTATTTTTGCAAATCTAAAAATTAATTTATGAGTTTTTAATTTTTGATTGGAAATATTAATGTGAAAAACTGGTTTTTGCATTGTTAGGAATGTTCGCAGTGAAAGTATTAAAGTTTAATGAAATTTGAAGTGGAAGACAGTAGCAGCATTATTAGCATTTGAAATAGTCTGTCATCTTAAAATGTTCAAATTCTATTTAAAATTTATACTTTCAAATTAAAATTTATACTTTCAATTTAATTATCAAAATTTCATTTCGGTTTCATTTTAGTGCTTTTCCTCTCTTTATTTTTTTTACTTTTTTTGTTTGCTAAGAAATTTATTTTTGTAAAATGAAATAGTCAGTTTGAATTATTTTAAAACTGGAATTAATTTTAATTTTGTCATTTTTTTTTTTGATTATTTAATCATGTAATCATTTATTCAAATTTCCATTCCTAAAATTTATTATGATTGTAAGCATTTCCAAAAATTTTGCTGATTTTCCAAAAATGCGTAAAATGAAAAAGAAAAAGAAATTACTAATAAAAATTTTTTATTACCTGAGAAACAGGTTAATTAGTGTCATTGCAAAAACTGAAATTATTGATTAAAATGAGTATAAGTGATAAGAGAAAAGTTTTTTATGACATTTCTATAACAGTTATAAAATGAAATGTGAATTTTTCTGCATAAAATTAAACTAATTAAATTATCCAAAAATATTTGTAAATATATTTGTTATTTTCAAATACATTGATGAAGTGGTTGACAGTTAGAAGAGAAATTTTGTCATCAAATATGCTATTTAAAATATTAATATAATAAGTTTATTTTCAACCAATAGTTGATTATATGATTAAAGTATAATAATTAATATTGAATTTCATTTATGCAAAAAATATAAATATACTATTAAACTTATTTTTATTTTAAAAAACTTATCATATGAGTTAATTGAAGGTTTTTTTTTTTTTTTTAAAAAAATTTTGACTATCTGCAATATTTTGTAAAAATCAAATGTAATGTATTTCAATTTCATGTAAAAAAATTTCTAAAATTTTAATAAATTTTATTTAAGCTATCAAAAAAATACTCCAATACTTTTATGATGTATCTAATACTAGCAAAAATTTATAAATTTAAAAAAAAAAAATTACAAAAGTGATAGATAAATTGTTAACAAATAATTTTGTTAAGTTTGGTGACAAAAAAAAAAAAAAGAAAAGAAAAATTCTTCAGAAACATTTTCAAACTATTCAAATTTCTTAATTGTATCATTTAATTCTTTCTTTTCTCTCTTTTTTCTTTTTTTTTTTTTTTTTTTTTTGCTGTGAGAGAAATTTAAATGTCATAAAATTTATTCCGTTTTAATGGATTTAAGTAATTTGAATTGGACGACATTTGTTAATTCACTAAAGCAAACCATAATAGGCAGCAGATATGGAAAAAGATAGGCGAAAGAGCAATTAAAAATATTTTAATTTTGTGAATGAATTAATAAGATTTTGTTGTACGCAATTCTAATATGACCTAATTTTAATTTTAGTTCCTGAATAAAATTCTTTTCAATCATTTGAAAATATATAATATAAGTGCATTAGAATGATTATACTTTTTAATTCATTCATTTCATTTTTGTTTAAATTTAAATTTAATTTGTTTTTGAAAAAAATTTCAATCAATAGTTCATTTCAAGTAAATTATACTGTAACCAATACAGTAGATCATACTGTGATATATACTGTAGACCATATTGTAGATTATACTGTATGCACTGTAAATGTTAAACTTCAAACGTTTCATACAATATTTTATCAAATTAATTTAAATTAATCTTTTTTTTTTAAAAAAAAAAAGAAATAATTACTATTTAGTAAAGTATATTTGAAATATTTTGTCTAATTGAAAAATATATTTGAAAATTTTTATTTACCAAGAAATATTTCAAATAATTCAGTTTTTTTCTTTCTTTTTTATCTCTTGCTTATTTTATTTTTTTTTTTTTTGTTTCATTTAAAATAAAATTTATTCAAATTTTTTTTTGTAATCATTTCATATTTAAAATTGAGTTCTCTCTCTCTCTCTCTCTCTCTCTCTCTTTCTATGTCTCGTTTTTTCCCTTTCCCTTTTTCCCATTTTCTTACATTAATAATTTTGATGAAAAAAAAAAAAACGCCGTTTTTATTTATTTGTTTATTGATTAAAAAAAGAAATGAACATAACAAATAATGAAGAAATAAAAATTTTTTTTTTTTAAATGTAAATGAAATGCATCAAATCAATGAATCAAACAATAATATTACCTGAATGGATCACTCAATTCCCTCTCTCTCTCTCTCTCTCTCCCTCTCTTTTTCATAAAACTTGTTTTCCTTTTCATATGTATTTTACATATCGATGAAATGTAAACATTGGGACAAATATGTGACACACACATACACACACACACACACACACACACACATAAACATACAAACATACACACACATACATTTAGTTGAGAAAAGATTGGAAAAGGCGAAGAAGAAATTTGCTGCATTTTGTTATTTAACAAACTTTCTTGAATTAATTTTCATTTTTATGCTTATATGATGAAAGCTTTGATTTTATTTTGTTTGCTATTTAAAAAAAAAAAAAAAAAAAAGTTTTGTCTTTTCTTTTTTGTTTTTTATTTGAAATGAAAATGAAATAAAAACAATGAAAAAAAAAAAAAGAAAAAAAGAAAGACATTTTATCAAATTGAATTCATCATTAATCATTTACATTTAACATACTATAATTTCATTTTGTAATTTATTTTATAATTTAGCCATATAAATTATTGTTTTAATTTTTTTTTTTTTTGAGGTAAAAGTTTAATTGTAATTTTAAGTTAAAATTTTTTTCAGAAAAAAAATTTTTTTTTTTTTTGTTAATTGTTTCATTTCGTAGTTTCTTTCTTTTTTTTCAAAAAAAAAAAAAAAAAAAAAAAAAAAACGGTCCGTTTTGAATTTTAACAAAAGAACTATTTGTAATTGTAAATGTATTGCCATTTTCAATTTTATTCTTTCTGCTTTTTCATTAATTATTTTTTTCTTCTCATTAAAATGTTAAAATTCATATATGTGATGTGTTTGTGTTAATTTGTGGAAATAACAACTTACTAGTACTATCTAAAAAGTTAGGTAAAAAAAACTGGAAATTGAGAAGAAATAAATTCCATTGCTTTTTCTTTTCCCCCTCTCTCCCTCTCTTTCTTTCTCTCCCTCTGAACAATATTAAAATGATAAAAATAAGAAATGAAATAAAACTAAAAATATAAAGTAAAGAAGAAAAAAAAAATGGGAAAAAAATTCCTTAATAATGAAATACTTTTCATTGGTTGAATTACTTATTAATTGTTAAGTTTTTTTGTTTTTTGTTTTTTTTTTTTTTCAATTTCCATAATAATTATTTTTTATTTTGTTTCCTACTTTTTACACTTATAATTGTTTTTATTGTTTAAGTTTAAATAATTTCACTTACTTTTCATCCGTAATATAATTTTATTACTTAAATTTTCTAATTGCTAATACTCAAAAAAAAATAAATACTATAAATTGTTATAGAAAATATCAATTCGTTTTTATAAAAAATTTATCAAATTTCAAATTTCTCTTTTTCTTACCTAAATTTGCTTTCATTTTTTTTCTTTCTTTACTTATTTATATATGTTCCTTACGTAAAGTTACTCAGTTTCTTTTTTCATATTTTACGTAAAATTATTCAGTGTGCTTCTTCATGTTATATACCTTTACGTGAAGTCACTCACGTAAGTGTTAAAATTTTTCATATTTAGTTATTTTGTTCCAATTTTATTCCTTTTTTTCATTTTGCACCTTCAAGCATTTACCTGTACCTGTAATTGTAGCAGTAATTAAGTGCTTCGTAATTATTAATATTAAAAATTTAAATATTTAAAAATTATCAACTACTTGCTTTTTTTTCATGCAATAATTATTCGGAAAAATATTAAAATAAAATAGCAATGTCAATCAGTTTTACCTGTTATTTGTGTATGATAAAATTTGTAACAGAAATTTTTCTATTAGATAATTTAATTTATAAAATTTTTACCTATAATCTATGACCCTCCCCTTCTGAATTATTTTGATGTTATAGGAAACTGTTAGCCATTTAGCTTCTTCAATGTCCGTCTCAGTTCAAAATTTTAAATTTCTATTCTTTTTCTTTTTTTTTCTTTTTTTTCTTTTTTTTTTATTGCAGAAAGTGCACCAACCATCGATTTGTTATTTTGCTTTTCGAAATAATAAAATCAATTTCTTTTCAGTTCGAAAAATAAAACGAAACATCGTTGCGTTACAGACGGACGTACATTACACTTATTGCACGTTATTATGGATTTATTGATACAGCCGAAAAGTCGTGGAATCCGATACGAAGGTTACGACAACGATTTCATACAGTGTGTTTTCGAGGATTCAAATGTATCCGGTCGTAATGAACGATATGAATTTAGGTAAATAATTAAAATTTAAAATTTGATTAGCATTTAAGTATTCATTAAGAAATTATGAATTAAATATGAATTAAAATCACAAATAAGTATTTCAAAGCATTCGTGATAATTATTTTGCTAATTAATTAATTACTTTCATTTTCATTTAAGTATTCATTAAGAAATTATGAATTAAATATGAATTAAAACTACGAATAAGTATTTCAAAGCATTCGTGATAATTATTTTGCTAATTAATTAATTACTTTCATTTTCATTTAAGTATTCATTAAGAAATTATGAATTAAATATGAATTAAAACTACGAATAAGTATTTCAAAGCATTCGTGATAATTATTTTGCTAATTAATTAATTACTTTCATTTTCATTTAAGTATTCATTAAGAAATTATGAATTAAATATGAATTAAAACTACGAATAAGTATTTCAAAGCATTCGTGATAATTATTTTGCTAATTAATTAATTACTTTCATTTTCATTTAAGTATTCAGTAAGAAATTATGAATTAAATATGAATTAAAATCACAAATAAGTATTTCAAAGCATTCGTGATAATTATTTTGCTAATTAATTAATTACTTTCATTTTCATTTAAGTATTCATTAAGAAATTATGAATTAAATATGAATTAAAACTACGAATAAGTATTTCAAAGCATTCGTGATAATTATTTTGCTAATTAATTAATTACTTTCATTTATTTGCAACAAAAAAAAAGATTGTCGAACAATGATCAATGATTATATTTAGAAAACATTAAAATTAATATTATAATTTATGAGCTTTGAAAAAAACGCATGAATAGATAAAATGAAAAGTTTTAAATTGCTTACTTTTATTTATGCAAATTTTACTTCTTATAAAATAATGAAATTAATTTATTTCAATAAAAAAAAGCAATTACAGATGTCGACCTGATTTGGAATGTTGTGGACGAATATGTTGTATACCTCAAGAAAATATAATTCCTCTTTGGTATTTTTTTTTTTTTTATTAATTAATTATTTTAAATGCTAATTTTTTTTTGTTTTTTTTTTTTTTTTTTACATGAAAATTTGTTAACTAATTAATTTCTTTTATTTTTGATAATGGTCTTTTTTATTTTTATTTTTTAAATAAAAAAGAATTGCTCTCTATTTCAGGTTGATGATACTGTTTATAATATTAGGATTACTTCTTCTTGCGGCTCTTCTCGGTACAATGATTTGGTTCCTTAGGAAAATCACAAAGCAAAACAAACCTTCGGACAAAGTAAAGAAAACAAAGAGTTAGTTTTCACTTTAATTTTAAATTACCTTTTTCTTATTTTTTTTTTTTTTTTTTTTACTTTTAGTTAATCATTGAAAATACTCATTAAAAGCTAAGTGATGATTAAATAATTAAGTGATATAAAAATTCATTAATTAAATTGCGACACAAACAAATAAATAATATGCTCGAAGTCATAAGTTAAAAAAAAATATCAATTCTATCATTTTCTTAAAAAATGAAAATTACGAAAATTTATTTAAGTTGATAAGTTTTGATAATATTTTTCCATACATGCAATCTTCTAAATGCAATTTTGTAAAACAAGTTCAAATATTATTTATTATAAATTTTTTTTTTTCAAATTCAAATATATGTTACATTCAAAATATTAGTTATCATATATTACTTATACATTTATTATACCTTGCTGTATTATTTTATATATTTATTATTTCTCATTCCATTCAATTCAGCTTCTTTCTTCATGTTGCATAAATTATGATCTAATTTAAATATCACTTATCATTTTCTAATCAAACTGATATCGTAATATCTGGCTAATGTTTATTCTATATTTTTGCTACTTTCATTAAATTTGCTGAAAAGAAAAATCATTCTTTAATTAATTCCTTATATAATTATCAATTTAAAATAATATAATAAATGGCAATTTTGTTTGCAACTTAATATTTTATGAAATTCAACACCAAATTACAACATGCATTGTTCATTTATATTAATAAATGTGTGACATTCCTCTTTTTCACATCCTTTATACTAACAAAAGCGCTTATTCATTCCTCCAAGTGACAATGTTTAAAATAAATGTAAAGCACAATTGCGCCATAGCGCTATTTTTTATATTCTGATATTAAATGCTATGAGTATATATATATATATGATATGCATGCTATAAGATTCACTTAATTTCTGCTTATCATATGTCATTCTCTTTGGTTACTTAACAAAACAAAAATTTAAAAAATTTCAGAATTTAAAACCCAAAATAACATTCTCTGCATCCATTTCTTCTACCTTTATAAAACTTTTACCCAACTTTTACCCAATTTTATATTTCAGCAATCAATTATCAACCTGTTGCATTGGGATATCGTTCATACAAGCAAAATGAATCACAGGAAGGCCTTGGTACGGAAAATTTAATCCGAAAAGAAAAGGATGATTTATACAGTACACCAAATGATAATGGAACATTACGTTCAATGCGTGGAAGACATGGCTACCGTAATCCATTATATACCACTACTACTAGTACAGTAAAAATACGCGAAACATTTGATCGAACAATTGATGATGCTAATAATTCATATGATAAATCCGGAACTGGTACAGATACAGGTATCGGTACCGGTGGTGAAATAACCGGTCGATCAGAAATAACTGGGAATAATGATAATCGGAAGCAATTAAATACAGCAGGAATAAGACGTAATGAATATCAAATAGCTGAACCAATACCATTACCAAATACAAACAGCGGGCAATTCTCGGGCAACTCATCGGGACATTATTCAACTCGAGAAACATTTGAGGAACGATGTGAAGAGAATTATATTGCAGAGGAAGAAAAACCGTTACCGTATGCTGATACAAAAGAATTATTATAATGGAATTACTGTACATTTTTGATTATGTTAAAAACTCATCAAATTTATTCCCATCAAAATTAAATCTTTTTTTTTTTTTTTCATTCTCAAACTAAAATTGTCACTGAAAATAACTATCAATTAAAAAATGTTTAAAGCACTCTCAAAATATTGGAATTTCTCGGGAATTATCAACTATATATTATATACTCAGGAATTACTCCTTTCATTTATAACCATAAGGAGATAGGAATAGATATCATGACATTTTAAAATTTAAATTTTTTTCAAAATTTTAATCTTTCTATTTTTTTTTTTTGATATATTATTTTTCAACGATTATTTCAGAAGAATATTAATTAGTAACAGTCAACTTCAAAGAGAAAAAAATTATCAAGAGAAATCATTAAAGAGAATGAAAATTAAGAATGTTCATCTTAATCACTCGTATTTATTGAACTAGTATCATACAATTCACTCAATTTAATTTTTAAATTTATTGAGAAGAATATTTACTACTTCAAAAAAAAAAAATCTATTCTAGGAGCATATTTATGCTATATTAATAATAACAGCAATAATAAGAGTAATAATAATATCAATAATAATAATAATTAATAATTATAACAATAGTAATTAATAATAGTAATAATGGCAATAATAATCATTAATAATCATTAATAATGACAATAAATAATAATAATAATAATAATTGGGAATATTAGAATCATATTTCTTGCAATGAATTTTTGTGAATGTTTTCAAAAAAAGATTGAAACTTGTTTTGCATGTTATGCTAACTTGCTTTACCATTTTTTTTTTTACTCCTTACTTTACTTATGCAATAAATGAAAATGAACATTTTCAATATTGTAAAATGTTATTTCTAACAAAAAAAAAAGTGTTGTAATATATTGTACGATGTAAATATTTTCAAAAAAAAAAAAATTTTTTTCTTTTTATTTAGCTGTGTTTTATGCAAGCAATAAGTAATATTTTTTTCGTTTTTGCTTTTGCATGTATTTAAAAAAAGTGATAATATTATCACATAAAAATTTTAACTTTTTTTTTTCATATGTTTTTAAATTGTAAACTAAAAAATTTAATTCAGTAAATTCAAAATGAAATAACTGATTTAGCTATTCGGATGCAATAATACAAATATATGTTAAAGTTGATAAAATTCTTTTACTGATTATTTCAGTTACCGATAAATATTTAGGTAAAATTTTTGATTGTAAATGTTTTGTTTTAACAAAATTTCAAAAGAGTTTATGAATTTTTTTTGTTTCCTTATCTTTTAAAATAACTTTTACTTTAGATTAAACAGACTGAACGAATAGCATTAAAATACCTGTTATATGATTTAATTTTTATTAATTTTTAACAGTTTTCATTTTCTCCATTTCCTCATTGAAGTTACAAAAAGAAAACAGTAAAAAACGTCATTAATGGAAGAAATTAAAAGGCGGAAATATTTAAAAAAAAAATTTCATCTATGTTTGAATTTCTACCTCGCAAAAAAAAAAAAAAAAAAATAATAGTCGTTGAATTGATGAAATCTGAAAAAATTTATACTGAAATTTGTCGAAAAGCAGCATTTATTTCATTTTTTATTAAATATTTAAATTAGAAACTGCATATTTCTGCGAGAAATATTGCAATGAATGAAATATTTTAAAAAATTTTAAAGTTAGCCAATTTTTGAAATTTAATCAATTTAACCATTATCACCAAAATTTGCTTAAATTAACATTTTGAACTGATAACTGAAATGAGAATGAATGTAGTTCAGATGTTGTGCAGCTATAAAGAGAATGAGATATTAAAAAAAAAAATCGAAATTAAGCAAAAAAAAAATTTTATAAAGAGACAACTTAATCCCTTTATTTCTCGTATTTGAATATCATTTTCAAAATTTAACATCGTTTGAATTATTATTAAATAATAAATTTGAATGTCATACACTAAAGTACCATAAATACTAATCCATTTAGGATCAATTTTTTTTCGAGAAATTATTGATAATTGTTGTAAAGTATTATTACCTTAGGTGTCCTAAAAAAATTTAATCCTAGAAATGATAAAATTTCCGAACTGAAATTAAAAAACTGCAAAGAAATTAGAAATCATCATACTTATAATTTTAATCATTTAGTTTATTCTGAATTATGTTGCTATTCTTAATGTTGATTAATTTTTTTTTTAAATATATTTTTCATTATTTATTGAAAATATTTCATTACCTATAAAAGGAAATGGATAGATACTGAAATTGAAATTTAAATTGCAATTAAAATGATGTAATTATATTTCAATGCTTTCAGAGAAAACAAAATTTGTGCCATCACCAATGGAAATGCAAAATTTAATAAAACCTGAAATGAAACAAATCATCAAACATAATTGTGATGAGATAACCTCAGCTTTAATACCTCAATATTTCGATCCACCGATTGAGCAACCACAACGAGCCGAAATTGCTTTCTACAGGTGTCAAACTGATCAAGTCCCTGCCTATTAATCAATCAATCATCAATCAATCAATCAATCAATTGCTTTTCTTTATCATATTTATCATTTGTATATTGGTCTTAAAATAGATGAAATATTTTCCTGTTTTCACCCATCCGGTATCATCAATCAAAAAAAAAGAAAAAAAAGAGAACCGATAAACATTTTCATTGCTTTTTATAAAAAATTCAAAAAATTTCAAAATTATTCGAAAATTTAAAATTCTTTTTTATTTCAGTCAGCAATAGTTTTGATAAATATCTTTTAAACATTTACATCTCTCATTAAATATAAGTTTTGAAAATTTTCAAAAGCACAAATTTGAAGGAATGAAATGATAAATTTATGCTCAATTCGTATTTTCAGAATTTTTTTGAAAATCGTTCAACAAAAAAAAAAAAAAAAAAAAATTCAACACAACTTTTATTACTAAAATATTAATTTTAATATTTTCTGATGATTTTTATCACATTTTTTAAAATATATTTAAATAACTAAATCAAAATCAATGAGTTTACATTATTTATTGATTTGAGGATTAATTCAATTTTGACTGTAATAAAATTGTTTTGCCAGTGGCTATTTTAAGGAAAAAGTAAGAGAAACAGTAAAAAATTTAACATTTAAAAAGTAAGAAAATTTTGAAAAATTAAATAAAAAATTTTATTCAATACTTTAAACATGTAATTTACAATTATTTTAATGATTTTCACTCACTAAAACTATCCTCATATGTGAAAATTATTGTTTGTTTACCTATTTGTCATCAAATTTTCAAAATATTTCAATTTTTCTGGGAATGCTAAATACATTTTTGAATCAATATCTTTCAATTTTTTCTTTTTCCTATTTTCTGATTTGGTCTACAATTCGATATCTACAAAATTTGTTTTATTTTTATATGCTTTTTCGTAATTAAAATAATGGTAATTGTTAGTATTTGCTATTCATCATATTAATTAACAATTTCTGGCACTAATGAATAGATTTAATAAAATAGATGAAATCTTAAATTAGATAAATTGCTACAAAATTATATAATGAGCAATTTTAGGCCTTTTCAACCGGATCCAATGAATGAGATGATCTTTCCGGAACCGATTCGATATACAGTTTCTTATCGTGATATCAATAACATTATCCGTTTGTGCAAACAGTTATCCGTACAACTCCCAGAAAGCAAACGAGCAAAAATTTTGTATCGCAAACTTACTTTTAACAATGTTCCATCTTATTAATATATAGATAAAAGCAGGTGAACTTTGACCTGCAAAGATGATCAATAAAATAGCTAACCGTTTAATTAATCCTCTTAACTAAAAAAAAAAAAAAAAGTTTTAAAAAGGTTTATTTAATCAAGCATTTTACAATGGAATGAAAATGTAAGATAAAATAATTTCTTTCTATCACTTTTCTCATTTCAATCAAATCTTCATTTGTTTTATAAATAAAAAATTTTCATATAATGAATAAATTTTGCATGCATATTCTAAATATTAAAATAAGTGAAATTAATATTTTTACTGCTCATTGTTAAATTTACCAGCGCAATTGTCCTGCGCATCTGTCCATTTCTTTATTCGAGTAATCGAAATTATCACAAAGACGAACAATGTATGATAGTAATCATCTTGACATGAATTTATTTCAAATTGATCAAACATTTGCCAAAAGTTTCTGGTGTATTCCAGTAATTTTTCATTTATTTAGTGTAGCACTTGTATTACTTCATCCTGAAACACGAATTTTAGCCTGGTAAGCCTAGTAATTTTTAAGAATTTAAGTAGAAAAATTTTTAAAAAATTAAAAAAAGTCACAATCAATGGAATAACAGAATTAACATTTCAAGATTTATTTATTTATTCTTCATTTATAATTTTTCAGTCAACAATAGAAAGGAAAAAAAAATAAGAGCAAAGCGAGAGAAAAAAAGAAAATAAAAATTAAATTAAAATTAAAAGGGAAGAAGAAAAAATTTAATTTATCATTATTAGCATATTACTTTGAAGAAAAAATTCTCTTTGAAAAATAAATTTTATTGTAGGATGTTTTTCCGACGAACATTCATCCTCTCTTTGGCAACAATAATTTTAATCGAACAATTTGTAAATAATATTATAGTGGTTTGTTTGTTTGTTTTTTGCTTCCTATTCTTCTCTCATTTTTGAAATTTTTATTTTTTTTGTTTATTTATTTGTTTTGCTTTGTGAATTATTTTAATTGATCTTGAAGTTGACATATGCGTTCCTTTTCTCTTTTTTTCCGCATTTAAGAATTTATTAGATACTGAAATTCATTTAATATATAGTACAACTATATATATACATATAAGTAAGTTATTCACTTCCTTGTACTGTATCCGTGATACTGTAACATCTGCAATATTCACGGCACCGTGACATCCACGATACCCGTAGTACTGTAGCATCCACAAAACAAGATACTGTAACGAATACAGTATCCGTGATACTTTAACCATTCTAACCCATCAATGGATTTCTTTTTATGGCACATTTAAAAAATTTTAGTAATATTAAAATGTAAAATATTAGGCGAAAATAAATGCAATATATATTAGAAACAATGAAATTAAGCAACTGAATAATAATTATGAGTATATCATAATTAATTATGAGAAATACTTGAAATTAAGAGAATAAATAATTAATTATGAGAATTAAGAAAAAAAAGGCATACATTAATATCTGATATTGATAACTTATTCAAATTTTAAATTAAAATTTTATGTTTCATTGTAAAATTTCTAACGGTATGTGAAAATTTCAGGAGGCCACAAAAAGAAGTGTGACAAAAACTATATTTGGTGTGTTGTTTGATTATGAATAAATTTCATACTGAACGACTGATTTATTGATTTATGAAATTTGATAAGCTTGAAAAAAAATTTGCGTAAAAACAAATTTTTATAATTAAAAAAGAGTGATAAAAAATGACTATTATTGCACGATAATAACAATTTTGAAAATATTTGTTCTTAAATTTTAGAAAAAGATATTGCAATTTTTCTTGAAAATTTTTATCATATTACGATAAAGAAAGCAAAATTGCCTGAAAACATGAAATTTCGACTGTTTTGAAAAATTCCAAAAATAAAGAAAATTTAATTTTAAATACTTTTTCATTAATGCAATTATTTAAAAAACAAAAGTGACTGTTAAATTTTAATTACAAATGTTAATTATTTTGCAAAATGTTTTTACAAATTTCTATTGAAAATGAAGAAAAGCAGAAAATGCTTTTTTTTTTTTTTTTTTTTACTTGTTGTTAAATATTATTTAAAAATTGACAAATGCAAAAATTGATCAACGCTTTTCTGGTTAATAAATATAATAGCCAATTCAGGAAGATTAAACTTTTTGTTCAGGAAAACTTAAAAATAGCCCAATTAAAGGATAAATTTTATCATATCATATTTCTCAGTATTTTTCATCATTCTTCCTATTACTTTAATATAGATTAATTATCACTTCAAACTGATTCATTATTTAATTTTAAATGAACAGTCATTTACAGAAACATCCAATACTCCTACAAATATTCCTATTACGAAGGCACATTCCTTCATTATGTACGTTCATTAATTATTCAAATTAATCAGTAACATTTTAATTTCTTTCATATTTTAAATTTAAATTAAGCAAAAAAATATTAAATAATAAATTTATGGGATTAAATTTAGAATTCGTTAAAAATGACCCAATTAAAGGATAAATATCAGAATGTTGAGAACGAGAATGTAAAAATATTAAAACATACTAATGTCAATAGGTGGCTGAATTAAAATAAATTAACTTTTTTGTCATTTGGAAGTTTCTTCAAGAAATTTTAATCAAATTTTAATATTAAAAGTAAATTTCAATTTTATTTCAAGTTATAAAAATTAAAAATGGAAAAGTTTTAAAAAAGAGAAGGGATGTGAGATAATTTATAATGATAACAAAGTAGTAAAAGTGATAAGGAATTAATTCGAAATAATTTACAAATAAGAGATTACAAGAAAATTTTATAGATCGAATATCGGCGACCCATTGAAAGTGAGTTATTTCTTTTTCCGGAATCAAGTAAGTGTATCCAGTAAACTGTTATCAGTGAAATTGTTTACATTTTAAAATTTTTGAAATTAAATTTTCTCAGTCCATTAATGAATTAAACAGTTTGGGAGACATCAAAAATAAAAAAAAAAAACTTAAAATAAATGGATTAGGAATTTAGAAAGCGGAAGAGATCTGTTCCATTAGTTTTCTTACTTCTATTAAAAAATATGCAAAGTGATTTTTTTAATTTAAATTAATTTCTCAATTAAAAGGAAAATCACAAATTTTAGCATGATTTTTTAGCATTTTAAGTTCAAAATCAGACAAATAATTTATTAAAAAATATAAAATGAAAATTTTATGTTTCAATTCAAATAATTTTTATTATGAAACATAAGATTTTGATATGAAGCAATAAATGAAGTGTATAAATTAAAATAGTACTAAGAAATTTTAGAACATAAATTTCAGCATTTCAAAGACAGAAACAAATCAATTTATCAAGCAAAAAAAATTTGATAATGTGAAAAATAAATTCTAAAAAGTAAATAAGAAAAAATGGATCTAATATCATTCATACTGAAATTTATGACCTGAAAATCATTTTTCTTCATTTCTTCGTTTCTGTTTTTGTTTTTTTTAATATTTCAATTTACATTAAATTCAATTTTATGATAATAATTTCCATTTAAATTATCGATGCAGTAGGTAACCTTAGTGGGATGAAATCCTGATTGCAATTCTGCTATTCGTTATTGCATTAATATTATTTATTACCGGAATGTATATGGTAGACCGAGTGCAACACGGAAAAGATCGTTTATTCCGGAAATATATCAATGAGCGAAAACGTTCTAGTGAAGATATAATCATTAATAAGATAATAATATATTTTAAAAACTAAAAATATCAACTTTTGTGATATTAATTTGCATTAATCAGTCATTCAATTTGAACCAATAAAATTTTATTCAATTTTTAAAACAAAAAATTGAATTTTATTTGAAATTAAAAAAAAAAAAATTATGCAATAGTTTCTTTTTTTTTTTTGCAAATTTGCTAATTAACTGTTAATTGTAATTAAAGTGTCAATATATAACACAGGAGAATTTTAAAAATAACTTATATTTTAATCAGTTATACGTTTCCAGAAAAACGGAAGAGAATGGAATTAGTTCTGAAACACACAAATAGTTCCAATTGCAATGATACTAAAACGGAGCCAATTTCAGAAGTTTATTTTCATTCTTTTTAATTACTCAAAGCTAATTGTTTCACTTTAATGAAATAAAATTTCAATTTAATCGAAATCAGAATACAAATTTTAATACAATATTAAAATACACAAAATAAAATTTCTAGTAAAAAACAAATAAAAATAAACAATCTTTTATTGATTGAAATAATTAAATGCATTTTAGTCATTTGTTGAAAATTCAACTTCACGAGAAAAACATTTGAATAATTCTTCAATTACTGAGCAAAATATTTCCAATCAGTCAATCACAGGACAATCATATGAAACTATAATATAATTTTTTTTTTATTTTAATATGAATAAAATTGACCAGTATGAATAGATGAAATCATATCATATCAGCAATAAATTTATTGTTAAAACAGAATGTATCAAAATTAAAAAAATTATTAATTAGTCATGATTCTAATTTAGTTTTACAATTAAAATTAATTTTTATTTGAAATTTAAACATTGTTTTTTATGAAAAATTTTTGTATATTAAACTAAGAAATAAGTTCTAATAATGTCAAATTTTTTTTTTTTTTTTTAGTTAGGTGTTAAAAACTATTTTAAAATATCAATTCATTAAAAAAATAGATATTTTCAACTTTATTGATTGTTTTATATGCATTTTTTTTTTTTTGGGTGCTGGTCATGTTCGCTTTGGTCGTTTGTTTAAAAAGATAAAAATAAGAAAAATTAGCCAAATAGTGATGAGATTATCGTGATAATATAAAGTTTAGTTCGATCAATATCAAATTTAATTATCATTGCTAATCTAAACATTTTCTAGTAAACTTTACATATTACTCTAATCTTCCATCATATATGTTTGAATGGAAGTAAGAAAAATTAAGAATAAAAAAGAAAATAAAAAAAAAAAAACGAAAACCACAAATTAGATAAATGGTAGTAAAAATTAATCGAACAAAATTATTATCAT